GCCCATCACGCCTATATCAATTAATTCAATTCCGGTAACATGCCGCAGTATGGGCTTGAACCGACCAACTTGACGAAAAGCATGTTTTGTCATTCAAACACATTTTTCGACATGTTATCGGACCGGAATCCGGCTCAAATGATATAGGCGGGATGGGCCCTGTCGAGCTCTATCATTTGGTACCAAAATTGTCTGCATATCTCGTTCTGGGGACAAGTTATCAGCCGGCCCTCCATCTGCCCGGGCCGGCCTGCTTGCATATTGAAAATGTAAAAGATAATAAAACAAGTTAATCATTTAAGAAAAAGTTTTATTTAACATTTTTTGAGACCTCTTCCAGATTGTCAGGAATTTTCAATCCAATTGTTTTGAACAATATATCTCTATGATATTAAACCAAATTACTTTTTTACTATGAGTCTGATTAGTTTTTTTCTTTGTCATTGTTTTGTTCAATTCTCAAGAATTGGCAAGTGTAACCCAAAGAGACCAAACCAGATGTTCATAGTACCACAGTTCAAACTTTGAGAAAAAAGTTTGAATTTCAAAATTTTTGAAATTTCGATTTTCAGAATCTTTCGGAAGATTTTAGCATGGCCATCTTTCATGGTTTGAAAAAATGCTCAAAAAATCATAAAAGAGAAAAAGTGTAAAAAATTGAAGCAGTGAACCAGAAAAGTAATGAATTCATGCAAATTTTTGTTGCAATTTGAAATATTACTTTTTTCAGAACTACAAAATTTTAGGTTCCAAAGAAGGAGAGCCAAACTGTCAAGTTTGAGCTCAACTATCTCAATTCATATGGAAGATATCAAAAATTGGTAAACTGGAGAAATGTTTATTATAATATTTTTAACAAAATGTTTTTTTCAGTTGACAACTTTTTTTATATCTTTGACAGAAACCGAGAAAAATTGGCTCAAAGTTAAAAGTTGAGGGACCCTTCTATTACAGGTCATTAAATTACAGTTTTACGGAGCTTTGTTTGGGACAAGATTTTCCCAAAATGGCTCAATCTTTTTCAGTTTTTCAACAAAAAGTTGTCAATACCACAAAATTTGATATTCTAGAAGATGTTACTTCTATTGGAACAAAACATTTTTCCCAAAATGACTCAGTCCTTCTCAAAACAATACAACAATGGAACAACTCTCTTCTCACCCAAAGTAAAAAAGAGTTTCAAAAACTGTTACCGATGTTTCATCAATCTGTTTTTTGTCACTATTCAATAAGTGTCGTCGTAACCAGCATTCTGAAAAAGTGTGTGTGTGTGTTTGTGATAAAAAGTCTGTGATGTACAAAACCACAAAAACATGCCTTCTCTTATCTAAGCGTGCCCCATAGAGGAAAAAATTCTGTGTTTCGAGCTAAAACAAGAACGACACGACAGATCGAAAAGTGTGACTTGTCTTTAAAGCACTTTTTGGGGTGTAGCCAGTTTTTCAAATTGATTTCTATAATAGACCATAGAATTAGATTTTGCATATTCGAGAGCGTTGGAGCCTAGAATGGGTCCACTCGTAATAAAGTTTTAAAAATCAAAAAAATTGGTTGACTACAAATGAAATGGCTTTTTGAAATCGCAAAAAATTGTTTACTGTCAATTTCAAGACAGAAGAAATTAGTCAACTAGAACTATCGATTGCCGTTTTTGCTCTATTAGAATCTCACCTATAATGACAATTATCCTGGTAATTATCTATAATTACCTCACTGTAATAAACATAAATTGAATAACAATGTGCACCGTGTATTTGCAGTCCTTGTCCACCTAATACATGCACTTTGAGATCAATTATCTCTGCTCATTTGAGAGATATCAAAAATTTGTTAACTGATGAAAAATTGATAATGTTATGATAAATATTTTATCGGTTTATAGATTTTTGAAAGCTCTTATAGGAATCGAGTAAATGAGCTCTAAGTGGGAGTCTATTAGAACAATAATGGTAATTATTTTCGAAATGCAGACCCCAGAACTTTACGAACTAGTACTAAAACTTCTAGGATATAATCATCCAAAACTATTGCGATTTCACAATAGACCACGAACTTTGCACAATCCGAAAATTTTCTTATCAGTTGGAGTGTGGTCGAATAAGTTCAGTGTTCATCAAAATCAAACCTCAAATCATGAAAAACAAGGAGCAATGTGACTTTTCAAAATTATAGATCAATGTGGGGAATAGCATGGCCGGTACTCTTTGGGATAATAGAATCACACCTTCAACTTTGAGCTCAATTACCTCGATTCCTGTGAAAGATATCAGAAAGTGATCAACTAACAAAATGTTTATCATAATATCACAAACATTTTATTAGTTATCAAAATATTGATATATTTTTTGGCTTTGCTTTTTTCTTGAGAATTCATAAAAAGGAAATCGTGTCCTAAAAAGACTGAAGTATAGATTCAAAATCAATTTAAAACAAAAAAGTTCACTGTATTCGAATCTCTCGGAAATCAAATTCTGACCTTTTCAAGAAATGAAAGTTCCAAAATATCCTAAACGGGTCTCCAAAAAAATCACATGATAAAAAATATGAGAAAAGGTGAATGGCACGGATATATACAAGAGTCAAAAATGTGCTCATTGTGCTCTCGGAGAGAGCACCCTCCCAGTGGCATATATTGGAGCACACACTTTTTTCTGTGCTCCGGGGGAGCACAGTTTGTTTGCACCGCGCACTCTCTGAGAACAGACGGGAGTTTTACTGTCTTATTTCGAAAAAATTTAGGGAGTAGTCAAATAAAAAGATTGACTTGTTACCAGAAGTTTTTGAAGAGAGACGATGGTAAATAGTGAGCTGGTTTTGGCGTTGAACTATTTACACTATTTTTAGATTTTTGAGAGAGACGATGGGTGTCCAAAAAAAGGAACATGAAAATCTTGGATACAGAAATCAAATTTCATTAAAACAATTAAAAATTTTAAGATTGATCTGGAAACTTTTAAATCAAATTAGTAAAAGTTAACCTTCATTTTTGCAGTGACCGACTTTTGAAAGAAGCTGAATTTCCAGTTAGGCTTCTTCTAAGCTGTATATCTCTTCTGAAGGAAAATTTGCCAGAAAGTAGTCAACTACAAAAATGAAGATCTAGCTTTGCTTAATTCATACTGATATTTTCAAACAAACAAAATGAGTGCTAGTTGCTTTTGTAGTTCATCAAACTTGACATTTTTTAGAATTAAATTATGAAGCTCATGAACTTTGAATAAGAATTGCAAGAAAACCGCTGACGAAATCCAATTTTTCAAACGTTATCCGTATTCTTGATTAGTTAAAAACATTTTAAAACTAAAAACTGACTATTCCGGTTTTTTTCCTGATCCACCCATACCTTTGAAAGTCGCTGTTCTTAGATCGTTCATAACTTGGCTCATTTTACACCCTAGAAGCTGAAATTAGTCTCAAACGTAATCATTTTCAGCCTTTTATCCATTTCTGTCAAAAAACCCAGAAAATATCTAAACTCTAAAAAATCGTGCTTTTTCTCTGAAAACGCATTTCCTCTGTTCGCCTCTCCCCAGTTTGAAGAGAAAAAAGTGGGCGGAGTCTCCTACACACACAAAATATAGTGGCCGGCGCGAACCCGGGAAGTGTCGGCTGCTTCTGGTGGAACGCGCGCTTGGCTCTATCTGTTTCGTTCATGAACTGTTCCGCAGCGGAAAATTGAGGGAAATTGCCGAAAATTGATAGACAGACACTTTGAAATGCGAGGAATCCGAAAATCTACTTTTCAAGATGCAAAACATCCGAGAAAATCTGTAGAGAGCAGGAGAAAACATTGGGTTCTAGATTTCGAAGTTAATACCAAAAAGTCGTAAAGAAACAGTAGAAACAATAGACATTCGAATCTGGAAATTGATTACCGAACTGTGTAATAAAACCCCAAGTTGCGGTTATAAATGTCAATACTCATTTTTTAAACCAAGAATCTTTTTTTTCCAGAACATTATCGTAGTTTTATCAATGACGATTCAGCTTTTCAAAGTCAAATCGACTGAAGTGTTCAAAAAATCACTTGACTCATACTTTTAATACATTAACCTTTTCAGATGGTCTCAAAAATTACTATTGCTTTTTTTCCAGATCACACTATGAACTTTTATAGTTCTCTTCCCAAATTTCACATTCTCACAATTTCATCGATTTCGAAACCGCAAACAATTTTATTTTATCAGTGCTAAAACCACAGGAAATTGATAAGAACACAAACAGACTGGTTTCCGTTTGGGGAAAAAAAAGAAAACACATGTTTTATGCAAAGGAGTTTATGCTCAACTGTTTTTGTGATAAAGGGACCAAACATTGAAATTCATCTAAATACCGTCAACACTCTAATATAAGGGCAAGGCGAGCCTGAGGAAGGGAAGGGCCATCTAAAAGGTGCTCATAGAGCGGTCGAATGATATTGGCAATTCAAGTGAGAAAGGCGGGGACAATGGCAGGCAGCCCTTTGCATACTTGCGACCGGGCCTTCACGGGATCTGCCATATATTTTTTAGAATCAATACTTTCGGACCAACAGAATCAGATATTATAGAACTCGGCGAGTGCTACAAAATGAAATTATTTAGAGAACTGTGTCTTGTCTATGAACAAAGTTACAGACGAAAAACCAAGGCGCGGCCTTTTTATGACCTGTAACTTTTTTCATAGACCAGACACAGTTCTGGAAATAGTATCATTTTGTAGAGCTTTTGTAGAACTCGTTTTAAGTTCCATCATGTTCAATTTAGTTGATTTTAAAATATTGTAACTATGGCAAGGCCCGCCAAGGGCCCGGGGCAAATGCTCGCTCGCAAGTGTGGTCCTTTGGAGAGGCTCCATGCACCATCCCCACGGAGGTGAGTTCTGACTATTTACCGGACTCCTAGCCCTTTTATTAGGATCAGGTGTTCTGTGCCATTGAAGGCAGTCAATCGGCAATCAACCGAAGTCGTTGCCTAGAGACCCGCCTTGTTCCTCGCGGACTAGTCAACCATCCACTTTGAGCTCAATTATCTCGTTTGCTGTAAAAGATATCAAAAAGTGATCAACTGACGAAATGTTTATTATGATTTGAAATACCGTAAAACCTCTAATAGAACGACACCCGGAACGTCCACTTTGAGCCTATATATCTCACTTCTTTTGAAAGGTATCAAAAAGTGGTTAACTAGTAAAATGTTTATCAGGATATCAGCAACATTTTACTTGTTAGCCACTTTTTGATATCTTTTTCAGAAAATGAGATATATAGGCTCAAAGTGGACGATCCGGGTGTCGTTCTATTAGAGGTTTTACGGTATGTTTTGATAGTTCGCCACTTTTTGATATCTTTTACAGGAACCGAGATATATAGGCTCAAAGTTGAAGGTCAGGGATGGCGGGCTATTAGAGTGGTACAAAATGTTTTTTTCAACATTTCAGAATAGGTCGGGGTATTTAAAATTTGAAATATCTTTTTTTGTTTGAAAATCGCGTAATTTGCGAAAAGTGTTATTTTACAACTATCCAGTTCATTCTCATTTACTGGTGTGAAGATCGACGCAACTTTTCAAAATGGTCAGATTTCTAAAAATTGTGTTTTCCAGGTCAAATTTTCTGTATTTTCCAGGCGGACAGCAATTCGACTCGCACCGCCATTCCAAAGACTGAAACTATAAAATCTGAAGGAAGTAGATCGTTGAAAACAGCCCGTTCTGGAGGGAACTCCACTGGTTTGAAGGTACTAAGGTCCCACGACTACCGTAACCATTTTTTTTTTAATTTTCTCGGTTTTCCTGCGTTTTCATTCAATTTTTTTTGGATTAAAAACGAAGAAAAAACCGGAAAACAAATTATTTTGGTTACGGTAGTCTTTGTTGTGGAATCTCCGGCCACGGCCACCTCTTCCATGGCTCCGATTTTGACCCCTTTTTCAGGATGTCGTTGATATCCTCTGGTCCGCTCTAATGTTCATGCTCATGATCATCGTTCGCGCACTCCACTCGGCATTCGAGTTTCTATCCGATGCTTTCGTCAAAATCTACCGTATCCTTCTGTTCTGCTACCGTAAACCGCATCATGCCAAGGAGCTAATCGTGTCGACAATCCACATCATCAAAGTGTCTTATGATGCAGAGATTTGGACTTGGACCGATATGTGGCAGATCTTTAAGTCGCATCTGATTGCTCCGATGACACGTGCACCACCACCACCAACTTCTCAGAAGTCGGTCAAGACCAAATGAGGCGATATTCAGTGAACTTACAAAGAGAATGAAATGTCTATCAGTTTTTTTTCTTTGCTCCTTTTTTGAATTGTCTAAAAAAATCATTCTTTATTTGACGACACACTATGCATTTGTAGGTCGGTCGGCTTGACCGAATAAAAGTTTTAGTTTGAAAACAAAGAAGAATCAGATGATCATAAAAGTTAATTAAGAAAAGTAAAAAATTTAAACAAAATAAACGTTTCAATTATTCCTTTTTGGTCCATTTGACACAATCTTCATGCACCGTGACCGTATTCCAGTTTGTCGATCGATCAGTCCAATCGGACATTCCCTGTCCCGTATGTCGATCGGCGACCTGGACTTGTACGGTTTTCTCGTCGCGACAGAGCTGCGCGGCACGAATGAATTTGGTTAGCATTTTGGAGCAATGCGGTAGAATGGGTCCTTTATCCATTTCCAGCACGTACTCTGAGCACTTCGAGCCCGCTTTTGAGATGATTTGGGACGTTTTCTGAAAGTTACAATTAGCATACGCTTTTAGCCTTGAGCTCACATTCAAACTCAACAGCTGCCCATACAAAAACGGTGAGCTCGCTATCAAAGTAGGCGGGATTTTTGTGTAGGGGCCTGTCTTCTCATGAACAATATCTGATGTCATCAAGGTGTTGTAGAGAGATTGCACAGCGGGACCTTTCACAAGAAGACAGGAAATGCCGTCGCGTTCGGAGAGCTGGGTGGAGAGTTGCCTGAAAATCATGGGCATATAGTGAAAAACTCTATTAAAAGAGCACCTCCTCGCATTGCCAACACCTTTGACTTGTCGCGGAGACACGCCCACTTCTTTCAGCCAGTCCGCATTGGCTTTCGTCGGACTATCATTCTCATCCTCCTCACTTTGATCACTATCTCTTTTCAAATCCTTCTTATCATCCCCCAGAATCCACGAATCCACTGGTGGCAGTGATGGCAAGGTTTCTCCCAGCCTCGAATTCTCTCTAGAATCCGTAAGCAGACAGTCCATAGTGTTCGTGTTGGGACCAAATAGGCACACACTACTGCTCCGTTTCATGCTCGTTTTCGCTCCAATCACTTCATAATCGACGCCTGAAAATTGGAAAAAAAATTTTTTGGAATAGAGCGCGCTTGCCAGTGACAAGTTGTCACCCTTAAATACCTTGTTTCCTCAAGTGCTCTCTTGTCGATGACGTGGTATGTGATACCAGTGCCACTAGCTCCTGTCCTCTTCCAAAACATGATTGTGATGTCTCATCAGGTCCACCAAACACATCTACGTCTTCTGAATTTTCTGGCTTCTTAGTAAATAACACATTGAAGACAGCGGATGCCACGTAGAAGTGATCCCTCTCGCCTTTCTTATAAGACATGAAAAGTTGCTCATAGCACTCGACCCACTGGGTGAACATGGTGTCCGTACAAAGAGGTGGGAGAGGTACCCGTGCCACGTTTCTGAATTATGATGTTTGGTTCGTAAAATACTTCAACTCTTACTTCAACTCCGAAGTGATTCTTGGGTACAACGTCATTCCGGGCACTACTGGAAATTGATAATAGAGCGCAGAAGCTTCGAGGAGAGCTAGCACAGACGATGGTGAGTACACTGAGGGGTCCTCTTGTCCAGAAATATACATTCGATTATGGTATTTCACTGCGTCATATCGCTCTATCGCTGGTATCCGCACTGCGACGATCCCCGTGGATTTCCGAGTATTCATCCAGGGAAATGGGAATTTCGAGACTAATCGGAGCTTTCCACCGATCCGATTATCAACTGGGATATCTGGAGAAGATTCCAATTCAACCACAGGAAGAGATCCGGACGACGACGAGGCGGGAAGGAGTTGTGAGAAGTCGACTGCGTGGAATTCTTGGAGCAAAGTCGGATCGAAACTTTTCACCCTGGCAAAGTGTGGAGTCTTTCGCTTCCTTGGCGACGTTCTCAACGCTTTCATCGGCGATTTCGTCTTCGTTTTTTGCGATTCCGCAACTCTAGAAATATTTTTTCAGTTAAATTCTTCATATATTTCAATGCAAACTTCAAATAATTGGCTCCAAACGAATCCTGCGCATCTTCTGTTTCATCACAGAACGTCACTTGGTTCCGCCGCTTCTTTTGAGGAGATCCTACTCTGAACGGGTTATTTGTGGGCACCGGGCAGCTCTCTGTGTTCACATCAAGGCCTTCAAATGATACAGGAGCAGGAGCCGCCGGTAAAGTCACATTTCTACTGCTTGTCGACTTTCGCTTCAGATGGTTTTTAATCCGATCTCTGGGATTGTACGGCTCACTCATGGAGGCTGAAATTTTGTAATTTTTGTGAAATTTTTGAGAAAATTCGCTGATCAATAAATTTTGAAATTATCAACTGTTCGCGCAAATTCAAAATTAGCCATAGAGCAGCACTTCCGCTTGATGACGTCACTACCAGAATGGCGCCTTCAAACTTAGCTGACCCATATCCGCGCCTTGGCGCATTCCTCGTTTTTCTATTTTTTCGCAAATTTCCTCTTGAATTTTTGCTATCAAAGACAATGAAATTCTTATTTTTAAGGTAATAAAAATGTCGCCAGATGATCAAGTGAAGAAAAAGAAAAAGTCGGTGAAGTTCGCAGAAGAAGCGCCGCCAAAAACCGTTGAGAAGCCGAAGAAAGTTAAAGGGACCAAGAAAATCGAAGTTTCTGTGGATTTAGGCGCTAAAGATGTGGTTAAAGGAAGAAAAAGGAAATATAAGATGAAGAAAAGTCAGGCAGAGTGAGTTTCTGAAAAATTTTAAGATGCCAATCACACAATTTTCAGAAAAAGACAAAAGCTGATGGAGAGTTTAGTAGGACCACAGGTTGATGAAATGGATTTTGAACCAGAGCACAAAACATTCGCAGATTTTGGATTGGATGAGAGAATTTTAAAGGTACGAATTTTTCAAATATTCCATGATAAATAACCAAAGTTTTGATTCTAGAGCATTGGAGAACTCGGTTGGGAAAAATGTACCCAAGTTCAAGAGTCACTCATCTCACTGGCACTCGAAAACAAAAATATTATGGGAAGAGCTCGTACTGGATCTGGAAAAACTGGCGCCTTCTTGATCCCTCTTGTCCAGAAACTCATCGCCGAATCCAAAACGAATGACGGATCTGTTGGACCATCCGCGGTGGTGATTGCACCAACCAAAGAACTCATTACACAGGTCTACACGCTTTTTGTGAAGCTTTCCCAGGCCCTTCCGTTTTTGCAGGTATCAATTTTTTATATTTTAAAGGGGGACTCCGACCAAAAATTTTTATTGCATTAAAATGTGTTAAAATTTATCTATTTTTCAAATATTATTGCGAAAAAATTCAAAGAAAATCCGAAATCCCCGAAAAACAGTGTTGAAAAGGAAGAAAATTCAAAAAAAGGTGCCGCCGGGGGACGAGAATTTTCAGTGAGAAACCTAGGCCACGGCACCTGACAGCCTTTTTTCAAGTTGCCGACAGTGGTTTTTTACGTTTTTTACCTGCCGGACATGAAATTGAAAAAAAATCCGGAAAATTTGCCGCATAGGAAAGGCGCCCGCTGCCGTGGCCTAGGTTTCTCACTGAAAATCCTCGTCCCCCGGCGGCACCTTTTTTCGAATTTTCTTCCTTTTCAACGGCGTTTTATGGGAATTTCGGATTTTTTTTTGAATTTTTTCGCAAATAATATTCGGGAAAATAGATANTTTTTAACACATTTTTTATNCAATAAAAATTTTTTTGGTCGGAGTAGCCCTTTAACCTGAGAATCGCCCTCTATCTTCTAAACTTCCAGGCAATCAACCTGTGTGACATCAATGAGGAAGAGAGCTCTGTCTGGCTTGAAGACCGGTCCCATGTAGTCGTGACAACACCAGGCAAGCTCTTAAGAATGTGTGGATTACGTCCTGAGTACTGCTCAATAGTCAGCTATTTGGTTATGGATGAAGCTGATTTATTGCTCTCGTTTGGTTATGAAGAAGAAATGATCAAAATCCGCAGTAAACTCCCACCAACCTATCAATGTGTCTTGACCTCTGCCACCTTGAAAGATGACATGACCACTCTGAAAAAGCTCTTTATGACCGGACCAGTTATCACTATCAAGCTCACAGAAGGAGACCTCCCGAATTCTGACCAACTCACCCAATACCAGCTGACATGTGGATCCGATGAAGAACGATTCGCTATTCTTGTGGCGATGTTCAAATTGAAGCTGATTGTTGGAAGATCTATTCTATTCGTGAATTCTATCGATAGGTGCTACAAACTGATGCTCATTCTCCGTGTCTTCGGTCTCAAGTCCTGTATTCTCAACTCCGCGATGCCAGCTAACTCTCGTTGCCACGTCATCAATCAGTTCAACGAGGGAAGCTATCAAATTGTGATTGCGTCCGATGTCTTTGATGCAGATGGATCCAAGTTGAAGGAGGAGTTGAAGGATGCTACAGAGGAATCAACAGAAGGAAAGAAGGACAAAAAAGAGAAAAAAGGTGGAAAGAAGTTGGACAAAGAATCCGGAGTCTCCAGGGGAATCGATTTCCATCACGTTTCCAATGTAGTCAACTTCGATTTCCCCGAAACCACCGATGCCTACATTCATCGTGTCGGAAGAACCGCTCGTGGTTTCAACAAAGGAACTGCTCTCTCCTTCTGTACGCCACAAGAACGACAGCATCTGGAGACGATTCAAGAAGAGATCAATCAGCAAATGGGACGAAAAGTGCTCCAACCCTACGAGTTTCGTATCAAAGAATTGGATACATTTCTGCTGAGAACTCGTGAAGCACTCAGCAAGTTACTAAAGGAGTCATCAAGAAGGCTCGACTGAAGGAGATTCGTCAGGAGGTTTCGTAGTTTGTAGTTTTCACCGAATTATTTGTCCTTTTTCCAGCTCATGCGCTCTGCCAACCTCCAAACGTTCTTCGCCAAAAACGAACGGGAGAAGCTTCTGATGCAAACTGATTGCCATCCAGTCATGCTGAAAATCAACTCCCCAGCCATCGCCGACGTCACCTCCTACATGGTTCCAGAAGCGCTACGTGGCATGGACTTCTCCGCTCCAGGCAACAAGAACCGTCGCTACAATATGGGACAGAAGCATCGCCAAAAGCTGAAGCACAAGTTCCAGAAGAAAGGAAAGGATCCACTGAAGACGTTCAAGATCTGATTTGTTTTTTGTTTTCTTTTTGTTATCGTTAATTTTTATCCTTATTGTTACTTTTTCCCCCACTAAATTCTTGTTGTTTTTTGTTTCCGAAGTAAAATTAAGAATCTAAAGAAAATACGATTTTCATAAAAAGTTAGGCATTCACTGCTTGGGATTTCAATTTAAATTGAAAATTTATAGATACGATTATCTTAAAATAAGTTAGAAATTCACAAAATTGTCTCCTTCTCATCCTCCCTATTTCTTCTTTCCTCCCCGCTCCTTGACCTGGAGAATGATAAGAGATCGATTGTGTAGATTGTAGTAGGCGCTGCTCAGATTGTCTTTCACAAAGAATCCATCGCTCATCAGTTTTTGTTTTCCAATCGCCATTGAATATCGATCTTGGATTTGCTGCTTCAATTCGGAGAGCTGAAAAACTTTAGTTAGTTTGCTGATGCCATATCCCCCCATCTCCCAACTCACCGGCGCTGTAACCTGCACGTTAAACATCACAATCGATCCATCCATTCCATTCTCCGGAGATTGTGGCAGCTGAACCATCACCTCAATCGATCCATTAACCTTCTTAAGCCACTCCTCTTCAGGCTCCAAGTCCTCTTCAGTACGAGCCCGTTTTGCTGGTGGTCCACTTCCGAAATCCATTGGTCGTGGTGCTCCAGGCATTCCCATCGGTGGTGCTGGTGCTCCAGGCCATTGTCCTCCTGGCATCTGTCCCGGGATACTTCCGATTCCTTGTGTGATGGTGACACTTCCTTGGGTGGTCTGATGATGTGGCATTTGGTGTTGTTGCTGTCCGATTTTCTCCTTGTTCGGGTCGGCGACAAAACCGTGTTGACGATGGATCTCATTGATTTGTTGGTCTGAAAATTTGCAGATTTTTTTTGAACCTGACCTAGTTTCAGTCTTACCAATAGTGACCTGATTCTGAACAGCTCGCGTAATCATATCTCTTGACTCTTCAGTTCCATCCCAAATTAGCTTATTCTGCCCTTGCTGACCTCCTTCCTCCTCGCCCAACTTCTTTCCAATCATCGTTTGTTCTCCACCGACACCGAAGATATCAGTACGACGTTCGGCGAACTGTCCGAGGTTTCTAGAGATATCAGCACCCAAAGCAAGCACCGGCTCCTCTGCGGATCTCTCACCAACATAACGATCCCTGTCTTCTTTGTACTGCGAATCGACCGTGTTGTATCTAACATGCTCATCCAGCTTTCCGGATGGCAGCTTCTCTCCAGTCAACGGAGAAACAAACCAGCTTTCCTTCGACGGCCGTTGCTGCGTCTTCTGATTCTTCTTTGGATCGTAGTCCCTCACAATCACATCCTTCTGCTTTGTAGGTGGCAGTGGAGCAGTGAACGATGGTGCCTCTGCTGGTGGAGCTGCTTCAGCCTCATCTTCAGAATCACTCTCCTCCATATCCATTTCTTGCATCTCAGCGGCAGCCTTCTGCATCTCGTTTCTAGCTTCCAATAGGATTCTGGCACCGACATCTTTTGGAGTACAAAGAGGTGGTAGTTGAGAGGAGTCTCCCGGCTGGAAGTCCACTGTCTGAACTACCACAAAATCGTGCCAATCGATTTGCGCATAAGCCATTCGCTCCTTCTCGGCTTCTGCTTCCTCACGATCCTTGAGTCCCTTCTGATGCTTCTCCCAGGAGACTCGATAGTTGATATCATCCAGAAGTTTTTTCTTATTCTTCGCTTCTGCTTCTAGTTGCTCCACAATGTTTGTCGATGGGACAAGAACTCGTTGGTATTGATCTACGAGCTTTGTGAAGTATTGGAAGTTACAATGAGCTGGTTTCAAGAAGTCGAATTGGTAGTTTCTGGCCTCTCTGGTCATTAGCTGGGTTAAAAATTGACGGCCATTTCGGGCAACAAACAAGGCGACAAGGCGGATGAGATCCCTGAAAGAAACATAAAATTTCTATTAGAAGAACAATGTTTTTCGGGGAAAATGTTGTTTTTCTACTTAAAATTCTTGAAAATTATTTTATAACGATACAAAAACACCTATATTTTAATAAAAACAAAAAGCAACAACAGAAAATCAATTCTTCCGTTGGTTTTTTAAATTTGACTTCATAAGACTTCCATCTGCGGACACATTGACTAGAAACGCATAAATTTTCTGCAATTTATCAAAGGGGAACTTCAATTAGAGGGGGTACTTCAAATAGAGGGGCCCTTCAATTAGAGGGGCACTTCTATTTTTCGTGAGGCCTCTAGGGAGGCACTTCAATTAGAGGGGCCCTTCAATTTCAGGGGCCCTTCTAATACAGGTTTTACGGTAAGCTGAAAATAACAAAGCACTTACAAATCATAAGCGTTGATCGTAGATGGATCAGCAGAGAAATCAAAAGCAAGTGGTGGAGCCGTTGGAATGAATTCAGCCTTCTTGACATGCGAAACCACCGCTGGTGGCGGTTTCGGGGCCTCCACTCGTCCCTCCGAAAAATCATAAACCATTTTCTTATAGTAGGCATGGTATGGATCGGTGATGGAGAGAAAGTTAAACTTTGGATTTTTCGCCTCCTTCTCGCGAATTTTATTTTCAAAATCCACACCGTTTTTGGCGACGAATCGGGCTGTTTTGTCCACGATAGCTGAAAAATTTAAGTTAAAACTTTATTTACTTTTTTTGAGGGGTTTACTTCGAATATCCGGCGGTGGATAAATCAATCCGATAATTGTTTTTCCGGAGAGTGATGGCTCATTGTTCATCGAGTCCTCCTCACGGTTTGAGACTTTTGACGCCATCATCGTCTGCAAAAAAGTTGGTAATAGAATCGAAAAAAACTAACTGAAACGACAAAAATCTTTGAAGAAAGCGAAGAGAAAATCAAATATCCGATTTCGAAAAATGTATTGAAATTTTCTAGGCCACCTTAAAAGTTCGGCCACCAGCGAAATTCGCGAAATGTAAAATTTGGTTTTCTCATTTAGTATTGTTAACAAAATCAATTATATTTCGGTTTAATAAAATATTTTAAACCTGAACATAATAAAAACAAACATTTTTAACTTGTTCCAAGTTTGACTACCTCTTTAAACAATAGCTGGCCGAGTTTTTTCCACTAACCACAAAGTCGCGCTCCATTGCGGAAATTGCAGAAAAAAAAATTATATTTGCAAAATTTTGCATTTTTTTCCTTTCAAATTTTTATTTTTCATCAGAAAAGCCTTCAATAAATCTCTTTCAAAATTCCAGGTGAAAATGACCGAGGAAGAGTCAACCTCCCCACAGATCTCTGTCAGCTTCGTCTCCGAAGACGCCAACGAACTCGGCGGCTCCGGAATCTTGGTTCCTGTGGATATTTCAACGAATCAGTTGCAAATTCTTTGTAATCAGTTGCTTGGAAGCAGCGATGACCCAGTGCCAATTTCTTTCTTCACACAAGATGGCTCGGAAATCGTGGATAATATTCGGAAGTCACTCAAGGAAATTGATTTTGAAACGGTAAGCGGTCCTGAAACTATCCCATAACTGAGGAAATTGTTTTTTCAGACCCTAAAATTAGTTTATCAACCTCAAGCAGTGTTCCGTGTGCGTCCAGTCACCAGATGTTCCGCCAGTATTCCAGGACACGGAGAACCAGTCATCTCCGCTCAATTCAGTCCCGATGGTCGTGGTCTAGCTTCCGGATCCGGTGACCAAACAATGCGAATCTGGGATATCGAGCTGGAACTTCCATTGCATACGTGCAAAGCTCATAAAAATTGGGTTCTATCTATCGCCTGGTCGCCAGATGCCACGAAGATTGCATCAGCTTGCAAGAACGGAGAAATTTGTATTTGGGATGCTAAAACTGGACAGCAAGTTGGGAAAACCCTCAAAAGACATAAACAGTGGATCACAAGGTTTGAGATATACATTAACTTGACTGAAAATTTACCTTTTTTCAGCCTTGCCTGGCAACCAATGCACAGAGACGCCACGTGTCGCCTGCTAGCTTCATCCGGAAAAGATGGCAACATTTTCATCTGGGACACAGTCAAAGGCACAGTTGTTAGATGTTTGAGTGGTCACACTGCATCTGTAACTTGCTTGCGATGGGGTGGAGAAGGTCTCATTTATTCTGGATCCCAAGATCGTACTGTCAAGATGTGGAGAGCTGACGATGGAGTGATGTGCAGGAATATGACTGGCCACGCCCACTGGATTAATACGCTGGCACTGAATACGGATTATGCACTGCGAACGTCGTGTTTTGAGCCTAGCAAGAGATGTATCAAGCCGGAAACTGTGGAAGACTGTCAAAAGGTGGCCCAACAACGCTACGATGCAGCCATTAAGATCGCTGGAGGAGAAAGACTTGTTTCAGGATCCGACGACTTTACTCTATTCATGTGGAATCCAAAAGAAACGAAGCAATCAATTAATAGAATGACTGGGCATATGCAGCTTGTTAACCAGGTGGTATTCTCTCCTGATACGCGTTACATTGCATCGGCGTCATTCGATAAGTCGGTGAAGCTATGGTGTGGAAGGACCGGAAAGTATATTGCTTCGTTCAGGTAATCGCTGTATCTGAATATGCTCTTCAAAAATTAAATCTTTCAGAGGTCATGTTGGCCCAGTCTACCAAGTTGCCTGGTCTGCTGACAGTCGTCTTCTGGTATCTGGATCCGCTGATTCGACACTCAAAGTTTTCGAGCTCAAAACCAAGAGCTTGTACTATGACCTGCCGGGACATGGAGACGAAGTGTTCACCGTTGACTGGAGTCCAGAAGGAACGAAAGTTGTTAGTGGCGGAAAGGATAAGGTGCTCAAACTGTGGAGACAATAATTGACTGATTTTTTGATCATTTTTGTTACTGCTATTCGTTTTGTTATCTTTCTTTGTTAAAGTTTTCATAAAATTGTTTTGTAATTTTGAAGGGAAACAGCTATTTTCAGGTGGCGAAAATTTTTTTCGCATCAGATAACCCAGATTCTCCGACAAAAATCTATTGAAATTTTCAGTCGTTTCCAGTCAAATTCCTAAATATTACATCATTTAGCGATTTTTTCAATTTTTTCAGATTCCCACACCATTCATAACCGTATTTCAGTAGTTTCCAATTTTTCTTTTTTTTTTTGGATCAAAAAAAAAAAGAAATCTCGATTTTCAGTTATGTTTAGCAACTTTTCTAAATATTTCTTTTTTTTTTTTGATCCAAAAAAAAAGAAATATCGATTTTCAGTCATTTTTAGCAACTTTTCTAGAGGTGGAAACCTTCATTTTTACTCATTTTCAGCTGAAAAAGTTGTACTAATTTTCAGCTGAAAAAGTTGTACAGAATGGCCGACATCGAGAAAAAAATCAACGAAACAACGGAAAAATCAAAAAGTCCCGCCGCAGATCAAAAAAATCCACTGAAAATGATTTTTTTTTTCGATGGCCTATCTTTAGCGAGGACGAGAAACCCGGCGACCCTCTGCACTTGCGCTCCTCCGGACTCAACGAAAATTCTGATTTTTTTTTGCGTTTTTATTTAGGCGATCGATTTATGTTGAATTTCGCCGATTTCTGTCAATTTTTTGGTTTTTTCAAGCAAAGAAATGAATTTGACATCAAATTTTGACCCAGATATCGATAAAAAATTATAGGGAATCTTGTAGAAATCGTTGAAAACTTTAAGTAATAGGAGTGGAAAGAAGTATAAAGGATTTTCATCGAGCTTTTAATGTTCATAACCCAAATTTTCAGTGCTTTAATCTCGAATCTGGTCTCTCTGAATTTTATCTTCTCAATGATCCAAAGGGAAAATGACGCAATTATTTTTTCAGGGAAATGGCTATCCAAAAGAAGAAGAAGGTAGCAGCAGCCGTCGCTGCCCCGGAAGAGCCGAAGAAAGCTGTTAAAAGACCTGTGGAAGCTTCAGCTCCGACTCCAAAGAAGAAAAAGAAGGTGGTAGCGAAGAATGGCGGTGACGTGTCAGCTAAAAAGAAGAAGGTGGTGAAGAAAGTGAAGAAAGTGACAGAAGAAGAGGAAGATCCAGTGGAGAAAGAGGTCTCGAAGCTTCAGTTGCTAGATGATGATGATGAGGAAGGTCTTGATCGATTGGATTTCACTCAACAAGAGGGAAGTGATGACGACGATTTGAGAGATGATTATTCTGATGATGGTAGGTCAACCTGGTTAAAATATATGAATCTATTTTGAAATTAATTTCAGACGATGATGACCTTCCAATTGAAAAGAAGTCAGCTGCTCTCGACAAGAAGAAGGAGAAGATTTTGAAGGAAGGAGAAGAGGAACTCCAACTCAACATCGCCAACCAAGCAACCTTCGAACTTCCTTCGGTGGAGGAAATTGAGAATGAGATGAAATCTGTGCCAAACTTGGAAATCATCAAACAACGTATCTCCGATGTTATCCAAGTTCTCGGAGACTTCAAGAACCGCCGTGATCCAGCGAAATCCCGTACCCAGTATGTCGAAGTGCTGAAGAAAGACCTGTGCTCTCAATACGGCTATAACGACTACCTAATGGGCAAGTTCATGGATTTGTTCCCAAATGGAGCAGAGCTTCTTGAGTTCTTAGAGGCTAACGATAACCCAAGACCAGTCACCATTAGAGCCAACTCTTTGAAAGTCAAGCGTCGTGATCTCGCCAAAAACTTGATCAATCGTGGAATGAACGTTGACCCAGCTGCCGAATGGACCAAGGTCGGACTCGTTGTGTACGACTCGCAAGTTCCAGTTGGAGCCACTCCGGAATACCTCGCTGGTCATTACATGATCCAAGGTCTCAACTCTCTTCTCCCAGTTATGGCCCTTGCGCCACAACCTGGAGATCGTGTGCTGGATATGTGTTCCGCTCCAGGAGGAAAGACATCACATATTGCCGCTTTGATGAAAAACAGCGGAACTTTGTTCGCTAATGACGCTAGTTTTGATCGTTGCCGTGCTATCATCGGTAACCTTCACCGTCTCGGAGTTAACAATGCAGTGGTGTGTAACTTGGGAGGAGAGGAGTTCTCGAAGATTAAGCCAAATGGATTCGACCGTATTCTTCTCGACGCACCTTGCTCTGGAACCGGAGTTATTTGGAAGGATCAGTCTGTAAAGACTTCTAAAGATTCTCAGGATGTTCAAAGACGTCACACTGTGCAAAGACAACTGATTCTGTCTGCATTGGACTCTTTGGATGCCAACTCCCCTAACGGAGGATACCTAGTCTATTCCACTTGCTCTGTGCTTGTTGAGGAGAACGAAGCCGTCGTTAACTTCCTTCTCGAACGCCGCCACTGCGAACTCGTGCCAACCGGCCTCGCTATCGGAGTCGACGGCTACACTCGTTTCCGTGACTACCGCTTCCACCCATCACTCTCAATGACCAAACGCTACTATCCTCATGTTCACAACATTGACGGCTTCTATGTTGCTAAAATCAAGAAGCTCTCTAACGCAAAAATGTCGAAGCAGGCAGTGCTGGAAATGGAGAAGGAGAAGGCGTCGGTAAAGTCGCAGAAAAAGAAGCAAGCCGCTGAGGAAGCTGAGAATTCCGAAGAAGAGTCAGGAGACGAGGAGGTGGCACAGAATGGAAATGCTAATGGAAAAGCTGAAGCTGGAAAGAAGAAGAATAAGAAGAAGGGAGGAGACGATTCGGACGATGATGAAGATGTAGAAACAGCGCCAAGTAAGAGAATCCAATATAGAAAATGTTAAGTATAACTTTTGCAGTGAAAAACATCGGATCCGGTGCCCGTGCGAATAAGAAACGCCGTAATCAGAAAAAGGCTGCTGCTAAACAAGCCGCTGTGAAAGAAGACGATGGATTCAACACGGTGAGCTCTTTCAGTAGTTATTCTATAAAACTGATTGTATTTTTCAGGTTGGAAATGTCAAACGCGCCAAGAAACCCACACAATTCAAATCAAAAGTGCCGAAACGTGCCGCCGCCCGAACTGGAGCCAAATCTGTCAAGAATCGACGAAAGAAGATGTTGGCGAAGCAGCAGGCATAGATACTTCTTCTATAATATCCCTTTTTCTTGAGTTATCTTGTTGTTTTACACTTGTTTTTCGTTATTCTTTTCCCCTTTATTGGATTCCACACCCTCTAAACTATCGTTATCATTATTATTATACCCTTGTTGATTTTTGTTTTGAATTTTTTCTGAACTGTTTTCATCTGACTTTTTTTGAGGTTTTTCCACTGGTCCCATCTACCAGAATTTTATTTCAATGTTATTTTTTCTAAATATATTTTCCGAACCGAATAGAATTTCAGAATCTAAAGACAATGTCAGCGATTCGCGACGAGTGGGACGAGATTCCGGATTCGGAACTTCATGAGACGCTTCTCGAGAGGGTCGAGGGTCTCGGAGAGATGTTCCCGGACGCACTTCGTTCGTTAGTTCACTCCACAGTCTCCTGGTCTACTTGGGGTGTGAAAGGAGTTGTGAGTAGAAGCTTTGAATTTAACTGGAAGTCTAGAACGGGATTATTCAGCTAGGTAAAAACCCTAGTACTTGACCTATTCTGCTTATTCAGAGAACAAGCAAAATAGGTAAAATACCAGGTTTCTTATCTAGCTGTAAATCACAATTTTCCCAAGTAAGCCAATTTCTATTTCAGTTCTCACTGACGAAAAGCACAGTGTGGGTGGTATCAACGACGTCGCTCATCGCCTTCCTTCCATACATCATCGAGAAGGAGCGAAGTGACTTGGAGAAGACCCAAGTCGCCCAACAACGTCAGATGCTTCTCGGACCATCGGCCGCCATTCAACAAGCCAAGACTGCTTAATCCTCCCCCCATTTCTCCAATTCCCAATGATCGTTCATCTGTAGTTCCTTTTAGCTTTTACCTCTTCTTTTTCTTCTTATGTGTTAGATTTCCATTAATATACATATTCAAAAATCATACAAAAGTGTTTCTTCAGAACAAGCAGTTTAGGGGTTTCGTCGACCTAGAATCTACCTAATTGCATGCCCATCTCCCCCGTTGATTTTCCGCATGTATCCTTCACACCCACACAAAGACACGTTGCAAGCTCTTAGATTCCAGAAAGATGGCTTCTCCGGAACCAACTCTTCAGATCTCAGAAGATCCACCACCGCCCGTACTAGAGCAGGAAGAGGAGGTCACTGAACAGGGGAAGGCTGAAAACGAAGAAGATCATCTTGAAGGCACGTCTTCTCAAAACGTGATGGCTAGCGATCGCTTGGCTGCTCCAGCTCCAGTTCGTAGTCCGCCAGAGAGGATGGTAGATCCAAAAGATAAGCCCGTGTTGGATCAGGAGAGATATCTGCCCATTGGTAAGGGAGATAAGACACATCGAAGCTATTTTAAAAAATACAGAAATCTAGAAGGCTTTATTTTCTTCTATATAAAGGTCTTTTCAGTACTAAAAGTGTCCGTTTCCAGCCAACGTTACTCGTCTGATGAAGGGACAAATGGATCCGCAAGCGAAGCTGGCGAAGGACGCGAAGGAGTGTGTGCAGGAGTGTGTATCAGAGTTTATCACCTTCGTCGCTTCTGAAGCCGCCGAGATTTGTAATCAGCAGAAGAGGAAGACGATTATGGCAGGTAGATAGAAAAAAATAGACCAAAATAACTTCGGCTTGTGACCAAGACTAGAAATGTATTTTTAAATGCTGAAAACCAACAAAAAACCAGCTAGGAATAGCCTTGAAATCAATCAAAAAGTACTAATTTCGAACCGAGAATGACTGAATTCTATGCGTTCCACAGGGTTCGAAGTTCGAGGTATGCTGTGGTATGCTGTTGTGCTCTAATGAGAAGGTGACGTGGCGAAGTTTGAGGTGGGGAATCAACTGTCGAGAAATTTGATGTTAACAGATCTAAAACGTTCCTTCGTCACTTTCTCAATAAAGCGCAACAGCGTACCACAGCAGCAGGCCCTGATACTGAAAATTTGGCTGACGAAATATCAGCAGTGAAAAAAAAGGGAACTGATCTTGGATTTTAGTAAAAAAAATCAATTTTCAATTAATAAAGCCCCTCTTCTCCTGTGAGGACAGGAAATAGAGGAAATACAGTATGTTCTCAGGGGAAACTATCAAGAGAACTTCAAATTCCAAGTTTAATAGCTCCTTTTCGAGATTTTACCGAAACTCAGATGAACATTATTCAAAAAAATTTATTTGTATAGAAAAGCTAAATAGCGCAACCATACATGTCAAGAATTCCTGAAATTAGAGTTGACGAGCAAAGAAACGTTTTCTGTGTTACTTAGTTTTCTAACTCGTCAACCGATACCATTAGATTCCTATCATGATTTTACATATAATACGAGCAAGTTGCGAGCTAGATCGTCAAAATGGAGCCGTGTATAAAAAATTGACGAGCATCTTCCAAGCGGATCCAGGAATTCAAAACATGTATGAGCGCAACAACAGTCCCCGCTTAAGTTGTTCTTCAATTTTTCGAAAAGTAACAAAAAATATCAGTAGGTGTTCACCAATTGTATCGGGGACTGCCACAGCACTTCGAACCCCGTGGTTGGCTTCCTTCAATTATCTGCAACTGCATCATCCATTTCCAGACGACCTCCTTACCGCAATGGAATCTCTCGGCTTTGATAATTTCGCTGAGCCAATGCGAATCTTCCTTCAGAAGTACCGCCAAGTGCACCGAATCACCGGCCCCTACCACGTCCACCATCCCAACTACAAGCGACCTCCTCAGTTCGAGAATGATCCACCAGTGCCGCCTCTCTTCTTCGAGACGCCAAATGGGAGAAGATGTAGGTTTTTATCATTAGTCTGGTACAGATATATCGGAGCTTTGGAAGGAAAATGCCGGTGTTCGCGGCCGATGGTCTCAACACGAATCAGCAAATTTATTCAGGCACCGAAACGAAATATGTGATCAATGGTACAGAGGTCATAAAGGACGCTCCATTCGACAACGAATGGAACGAGGAGACTGGAAATCACGGTGGAGATCTTCTTCAGAGGGAACTGGCTAATGAGAATGGTCAAGAGATGGAAGAAGTCATTCATTATGAGGTAAGAGGGGCAGGTCTCTAACTTCTGTGGTATGCTGTTGCGCTTCAATGAGAAAGTGACGTGGCAAAGTTCTTAGCTTAACAATTCTAAGAATTCTGAATTTTTAACGACCTAAAACTTTGCAACGTCACTTTCTGAACGAAGCGCAAGAGCATACCTGCTAGATGGATCTTTATAATGTCTAGGAAAAACCTACAGTATTTGCAGCGTAACGGTGATGAAATGGAAGAAGGATCTTCGGAACCAATATTAGGAGAAACAATAACAATCACAATGGACCAATTCACCGACGACGATGATGTCAATCAGCCAGGAGCCATTGCTTTAGAACAGCAACAACAAATGCAAATCTACTACGATCCGCAATCCAAACGACATTATGCTGCCAAAGAGAGTTAGTGTACCTTTTAATAGCTTACACGACAATTAAGCGCTTCGAAATCGAACGCAATTATTAGCTATTTAGGATTTTATGACTGATACTGTAGTTTCATAGCTGAGCAATTAGCTTTTCATTTCAAAAAATCCACGTTTCAGCACCGAATGGAATGGAACTCTATCCACTGGTCATTCAGGACAAGCCTCTTCATTTGGAGAATGTGGAGACTGGGGATAATGTGAGTTTGGAGAGATGCATGGTTCGAATGGCTAGGGGTGCTGTTGCGCTCTATTGAAAAAGTAACATGGCAAAGTTTTTTATCATTCAAGCGCAACAGCATACCAGTTAGAACTATGAAAGCTGTGTGCCACGTGGTATTCTAGCAGAAAAAGATCTAGACACATTTTTCAGCAATTCATGATGAGCATAGAAGACGACTCCAACGAAGGGACAATTGTTCAGTTCGGCGAGCCGTTGACGCCTGATGTGGAGCCAGTCCAGCAGCAAGTGAATCATCAGCAACGACACCATCCTCATCAATCCCGCCAATCCTCCTCCAGCCAACGAAACCACGCCAAACGACGAAGAGTAATAGCAGAGGACTATCAAGAACAGCTGCCCGAAGACTCAACGGTACAACAGATGGCTCACGAAGAAAAGCTGCGAAGGATCAAGCAGAGAGAGCGCGATGAATTCGAAGCGCGGCGTCAGCAACAAATTAGGCATGAACAGGAAGAAGCTCTCCGACGGCAACGACAAGCGGCAACGCCGAGGAGTCGAGCAGCCCATGTAAGAATGCAACGGATTGAGGAGGATCACGATGATGATGAGGTGCCGCCCATTAACCAAACAGAGAAAGCGGTGCCAGTGCCATCGCCACGTGTCAGAGCACCGGCTCCCGTGCCACCTCATCGTATGATGGGTGTCGGCCCGAAGAGAACTCCACCGAAAAGGAAAAGGAATTCGTAGAAGAATTTCGGAACTGAAATTTCGAATATTTCAAAAAATTACACAATATTAGGCTGTATTTTCACTATTTCTTCCACAAATTTTGCCGTTTTAGGTCATTTAAACGCATTCTCAATTTGAAAAAAAACTGGTTTTGTATTATTGAAATACTTTCTTCCATTATTCTTCTACTATTTAATAATTTATTTTTGTACATAATTCGTTGTTTTCCCTTTTGTTTTTTGAATTTCTTAATTGTGCCTTTTATCTCCCTTTTCAATGCCAAAATCTCCCATAATGTTTTCTGAAAACTTTAAATATCCGCTCGATTCGTCAATAGCCACAGAATTCGAATTACTGTGGCATGCTGTTGCGCTTTATTGAGAAGATGACGTGGCAAGATTTAGACTCGGTAAAATCCGAATTTCTCGCAATTAGTGGTGGTTTTCCACCTCAAAACTTTGCCACGTCACAATTCTCATTGAAGCGCAACAACATACCACAGCAGTTCGAACCCTGTGAATGGCAAAGGATACATTTTCCAATTTGAATCATTTGGAAAATTTCATTTTCTAGAAAGTTGTGGCTATCTCTTAATTTTCAGTATTAATTGTCCTGCCTTTTTTTTACACTCTCACCTCCGAAAAGCTCTGGACCTGCATTCATTATTCTGCTCTGCCTCTTATTTCAAAAATTTGTATTTATTATTATTATTTTCCCCCCTTGCCACCACCTCTGGCTCCGCCCCCTTCTTCGCTTTACTCCCTACACCACACCCCATTCTCATTTAACTGCCACGTCTTCTTAAAGAGATTGATTCCCCCGAAAAAAGCAGCGATGTCTTTGCTGTCTTTGAGGAGGATGAAGATAGGAAGAAGAAGTAGGTGGAAATGGCTGCTATTTATTTCTTCACTCTTCCACTCCGCGAGCCGCCCATTTCTCGCCCCATTCATTTTCCTTTCCTCCGCCGCTCCATCTCATTGTCCGTATATAGAAGGATAGAGCTGTCCGTATGGACTCCAGCACCACCCATCTTCCTTTCTCCATTCTTTTAGCTCCTTGAAGACGTGGCAATTTTATCTTGATCTCTCTCTCTCTCTCTCTCTCTCTCTCCATCGTTACTCTCAGAATCCTTGAAAAATTTTGTATCCTACCACAAGGAAATGATAGTAAACAAAAACAGAATAAAATCGTTTTGTATCCTTAATTCTAATAACGGAAAAATAAAGCTATCGGTTGTTGACACCACTTTATCTCTATCTATTCCCATTGGAGTTTGATGCGATACACTGACTGGCACATATTCTGTATAACGGGGCTATAGTTGGTTCTCTTGGTTCTGCTTGGCACAATGTTCGTTCCTATCACCTAGTCGCCACACCACTGAGTCCTCGTCTCTGTTTTTCACAAATTCTGACTTGTCCGTCAAGCATCTCAGTCCATCCTGATTGTGAGTCTGTAGATCTGTAAATCCAGATGTCCCAGAATCTCGATTTCCGTCTGTCTGTGGCTCTGTATGTCACATTGTCCGCCGAGGCATCTGTCTGATTCAAGTCAACTGTCAAGGCTATAATACCTTAACATCTGTCTGCATATCTGTTCATCCGGATGTCCACGTGGTCTCAGTCTCCAAATCTCGTGGTCTCAGAATCTCATTCTCCACGAGAGTACCTTACCTAATCACCACTCTATGTGATTCTTGATCTGAAAGTCCTGGAGAAGAGAGGAATAGACACCAAGAACTTCTGAAGCGCACTGAGCTGACTAACTTCACTTCTGTTCGTCTGTACGTAGCATTGCTACAGTAGCTACAGTACCAATCAGACATCCAACTCCTTCAATTCTTCCAGATGTACATATCCGCTATCTTCCATTCTGGATGCCCCACGAGCAGTTTGGCCGCAGAGCCTATCAACTTTGACAGAATATTTTGTAGTTCTTGTCACCAAAAAGCGAGCCCCAGGGTACGGTAGCTTCCATCCATTTGATCTAGTTCAGAATTTTCCAGAATCCCAACTGGACAATCAATCGATTGCCTTGTCCAATAGTAGAAGATCATCCGAGTTGTTCCGTTGTGATAAAACCGTCGGATGGGCATTTTAGAAGGTATCGCGATTCTGGTTCTCTTAGAATCCACATGGAATTTTTTCAGCTATAAATTTGGAGATGACCTCCATATTGGTATCGCTGACTCTCGTGGAGCTGTCCACTCCTTCTGGACACAAGGGATAGAGACTCAGGATTCCACGTGGCAAGATTCTTTGATTCTAGTCAGCTTGAACTCTTGTAGCTATCTAGATAAGTCCTTGAAGATTTTCAAAGAGACTGACACTAGATTTTGCAAAACGGTAGGTCAACTGTGCCAACAACTGACTTAACTTGAAGATTCCAGAAGTATTCGGATGATACGTGGAATTGCTTTGATTTCGTGCTAGAATTTTTGAGATTCATCGCCTTCCGGGACTACTCGAAGTTGGATTTTTCGAGAGAATTCACAACGAAAAAGTTGCAAGCAGTTGTGAAATACTTTACACTTTTTGAGAAGCTAAAAGCGCAAAATTGAATGAAGATTCTAATTTTTTGATTTGGCAGAAATTTTATCCTTGGCTTACTTCCAGACTTTTTACCTTTATCTTTCTTGATTCTCTTTTCCAAAAAATTCTTTCAAACCTGTCATTCAGGTCTCCCCCTTGCTGAAGAAAAAGTAAAAAAAATGGCTGATCATTTGGAAGAGATGGATGAGAAGGTTGACGCCAACCGCATCATGGACCAAGCAGACTTCTTGGCCAACCAGTTCGAGAAGTTCACTCACGATTTTCGTGAGAAAGGAGAGCCAGCATGCTGTGGTACGTTTAGCACCAGAGGGACTAACTTTTGCGAGTTGAATTATCTAGGCCATCAACTTTTTGACCTAGTAATGGCCTGATATTTACCTGATGCTTTTTCTAGATAATTTACCATAGTGGCCTAGAAAAATCGTGTTTAAAAAGTGAGGCCACCATGTCAGCTGACCTAGAGAACAGGGTGAATAACATGTCATTTCTAGGTCACTTTAACATGGTGGCCGAACTTTTTCATGTTGAGTTTTCTAGGCCGCCAACTTTTTTGACCTAGAAATCGTCTGATATTCACCTGGTTTTATTTCTAGATCACTTTAACATGGTGGCCTAACTTTTGCAAGTTGAGTTTTTTAGGCCACCAACTTTTTTGGACTAGAAATGGTCTGATATTCATCTGGTGTGTTGGTGAGACCGTTT